CAGGCTCACATGCTATATTCCCAGAAGCAAGCAGGGTCTGGAAGCTCTGACCTTGGACAGATTCCCTGATGTTGGAGACAGATCCAAAGGAAATGGACCCACAGTGGGGAATGCCCCAGATGTGCATGGTGCTGACTAGGTTGGCACAACTAAGAAAGGACAGCAACATTGGGAAACTAGAGTTTAACTTATGCACCTAGGATAGTTTTCCTTAGTACTCTGGGCTCCTTTGAAATTCAATTAAAGTAACAGGCCCTATGCTGTGTGTGGGACATGCCTTGCAGACAGTTTTGAAAGGATCATAGGCATACTGCTCAAAAGATTGTCCCTGGATCCCTAACTTGGGATATCTCCTTGGGTTTCCATAGCCTCTCAAGTCTTATTATATTCATGAAAATAAAACACTGAAGAGTTAGGTGATTTGTCCCCGAAGTCACACAGGTAACAATGATAGATATAGTTTAGTTCAACTATCTGGACAGCATTATTACACATGCTCACTCCAACTCCCCAACAGAAGCAAAGGACAGATATATCCCTCTTTGCAGATATGGTCTCCAAAGCTTGGAAAAGCTGAGGAACTTTCAAAGATCACACAGTGACAAGGAACAGAACTGGCCCTGGACTGCCCTTGCCTTGATTTAAATATGAAGTAAGCACTTGTATTAAAACAAACAACAGGCAGCTGTTTGGCAAAGGACTTTATAAGGAACACTCAGAATGAATGAGTGTACCTAATGTGTGTATCTAATCCATCTAGTGTTTCCCCAATATGAAGCAGGGAGAACAGGGAGTGTGGTCACAAGATCTTACACTGTGGGTCTCAACCTCATGAGAAGTCATACAACAGAATGTGGGATCGCAAAGAACTTGGCCACAGTAAAATATTTCTGGACACATGACCAAAAATCAACTCAACGTCAAACATGAATGAATTTGAGGTGCTCACCTGTGTTACATCCCGTACCTTCATTTCATACTGCACACGCGACATGCATGTTTTATGCTATACATGCCTCCACAGCATGCACCCTCACCAAGACCACCTGAAACACTTTTGGCTCATACTCAAGAATATTGTGAAGTGTAAGCTGCAGTGTTTTATTGAAATTCAGTTTTCTGCTCTTACAGAAACGCACGGGTTAATAACAGAAAACAAAGACTTTTAATATTTTTTATCATCCTTCCCCAGCATGTACGCATTAAAGCATGTGTCCTTGGATTGCTTTGCGTTAGAATGTTGACTCTGAGAACTGCTTGAGTCAGTGAGGTGATGCAGCAAGTAACCAGCACTATGACCCGAGCTCCGTTCCTGGCACCCACACGGTAGAAGGAGAGAAGCAACCCTGAAAGCTGCCCTCTGGCCTTCGTATGAGCGCCACACCATGGCATGTAAGCCCCCTCAAGACAGACACATACAATGAAAACTGCAGTTTGAGTTGCTGATTTCTGTTTAACAGAAAATTACTAAATGAGTTTGAATTGGTATTAGAACAGCATTTCCAATACTTTCTGAAATGGCCCTAAACAGACTTCTGCCATTTCCTATTACATATTTATGAGAAACAGTATTCTCAGTATTGATGATCCCAAAATCAAAATATCAACTGTAAAACAAACAAAAAAAAACTGAAGGTGCTTCTCTTCCTGCAATACCAAAAGTTCAGCCAAGTCAATTCTTTATGTTAAAATGCATCAATCCCTTAAATATGTTGATTTGCTTTAGTCTTTAATAAATAGTAAATATATATACACACCAGAGAATTATTTCAAAATAAACTTCTTTATGATTTATTTTAAGCAAATGTTTTGTACCTATTTTAAATACTTGGGATCATATAAAAATTCCTTGGATAAAGAAGGGTCAAAATAGGAAAGTTTAAGATGTCCTGAGTCAAGTCACTTAACAGTTTGTTCAGTTCTGATTCTTCTATAGAACCACGTGTCTCAGGGGCCACGCCACTTGCCCTGATAACAGTAAAAGTTCTGAGGTCACCTGGCACATATAGGTAGCAATGCACGCTTGCTTCAGAGCCTTATTTCTAGCATTCACTTGCCACCAGCACTCTTAGTTTAGAGGACTGTGTCCACCTCTCAGCCCCAGTAACCCATGGACTTAACTTCTTTTGGAAGCATGGCCTCTCTTCAAGCTCATCCTTTGCCCTTGCTCTGCTTCTGGGACCCCTCGTCTCTCCCCATGCCTAATGAAACCTCTTTGGTCCACATCCTCTGGCCGGGAATGTCTCCCTGGAGGTGGAGTGAGAATGACAGCTGTCCACACACACTATTTGTGCTGCATCAAGCAGAGGTCTTGGTCCTGGAAACCTGGCTGGGGATATGAGGGAATGGAGGAAGGACAGGTACATGTACAGAAAACCTGGGGCCAGGTGGACCATGAGTGCCCTGATGGGGAGGTGCCTGCTGAGCAACGCCCCAGGACCTCAGCACAGGAGCAGGAGGGGGAGGAGCTAGCCAGTCACGGTAGGAGGTCCCTGTAGGGGAGCAGTCTCAAGGTGTAAGCATCATGGAGGAGGAAACTCTGGTTGGCGCTTTCTGTCCTCCGTCAGCATCCACACATGGACCAGGGAAAGGCTTTGCCAGTTCTCTAAGCCTGAGCTTGGGAAGGCTTTGCCATGTCCATGGATCTGAGGCACTGGGGTCCTTGACATGGCTGTGCCCATGTCAACAATACACATTCACTCAGGACTTCATCTGTCCCCCACAGGTATACTTAGTTGTCATGCAATATGCAATAATTATGCTCAGCTCCACCATAATCTGAGTTCTAGGTCTCCGGCACAACCATTTTGGTGTCCGCACCAGTGTGAACTTAAGGGAAGTAAGGCATCCACCTCCACGGCTTCGTTCGTGTATGTGCGTCATCCACACATCTATCAAGAACCAGCAGAGTGCAGAGCTTTGAGCTATATGCTTTGGATGCACAACGCAAATGATTTTTAAGCTCCTGCATCAATCCAAGATCTACGCTTCATATTTTTTTACACATTTGAATTTGAAGATTTAGATAATCCAATCCCTGGTGATTTAAGACATTTTGTTTGTGTACACAGTGGGCAAGGGCTCTACCTAGCTTACAGCAGACATTTCCTTTTTTATTATTTTAACCCAGTGTGTGTGTGTGTGTGTGTGTGTGTGTGTGTGTGTGTGTGTGTGTGTGTACAAAGGCACATGTGTAGAAGTTAGAGGACACTCACAGGATTTGGTTCTCTCCTTCCACCATATAAAACCCAGAGACTGAACTGAGCCAAGCAGGCTTGGCAACGGCCCCTTTACCTGCTGAGCCATTTCCCTGGCCACAGAGTGATAAAAGATAACAATGTAGCTTAAGGGGCGGGGGGGGGGAAACAGTTCAGAAGTTTATAGGGGAGAAAAAAATCCACATGTAACAACAATGATATACAACAGACTATTTTAAGGAAACAGTGTGAAAGCCTGAGGGAGGAAGATGGTTCTTTCTAGAATGAGAGATAAACTTTAATTTCAAATGGGCTTCTCCTTTAGTTGGTCACACAATTATTTTTTTCTCCTTCCCCCACCCTGCCCAAGTAAATATCTTGCTCCTCACACATCAGCAGCAATTGGCTCAAGCAGAAGATCAAAGCCATGGCACAGGCTGAGTGTATCTTGCCTGCATGTGGTGTCTCTTCTGGTGCCCTTGAGGACATGATGGGGAAATGTTAGCAAGGTCAGAGAGGACAGGAAATGGAGTCATAGCCGGGTGAGCTACTACAGTCAAAGAATGTTGATGAGTTTTTCTGTGTCAACCCAAAGGAGGTCTCTAGTGGCATAGAGCTGTCCTTGGCAATGACCTCATTGGCATGGTTACCTGTGACTCAGAAGATGGCCTACAAGGTGTTCTAATCACGTTTACAACAGACACAAGGCTGGGAAACAGAGTTACCACTACAAATGTCAGGACGGAAATAAGAAATGACCTCAGCAGGAAGGAACAGGAAGACGAAACCAACATGATGGAAAGGAACCGAGAGAAATGCAAAGTCCTGCATTTAGGTTAAAAATTAATTGCATGAGTACCGGATGGGGTCGACCTGGTTTGGCAGCAATCCACGTGAAAATGACCTATTTGTTTGTTATTTGTAAGTCGGCCACTCGCTCATCCTGGTCCAACTGTGTTATGTGGTTGACACATGATACGTAAAGTGAACACCATCTTGGCTGTATCGGGGAAGTGAAGTGTCTCTGGTCTAGACCATTACATGGCCTGTGTGCTCAGAACTAGTCAGTCCTGTCTGGAATGCCATGCTCACCTTGGGCATGACAGAGGAAGACGGTTATTTAGAGAGGGAGTGTGGGGCTAGGGAGACAGCCCCGTTGATAAAGAACTTTTCTGCAGGAGGACTTGGATTTGACCCCTGGCACCCATATAAAAGAAGTATGTGATACACGCTGGTAACTCACTACTGGGAAACAGGGGACAGACAGCAGCCCCATAGACTATGCTGGAGCAGCTAGCCTCGCCTACCTGGTAAGTTCCAGGCCAGGGAGGGACTGTGTCTCCAGAAAACAAAGGCGGCTCTATGACCTCCAAGTGCAGTTCACGCACATATGCACATGTGTCCACACACACGATGCACTTGTACACACAAGAACACCCATACATGCACACAAACACACTGAAAAGAGGAGGGGGAGAAGCATGTTCTGGCAATGGCAGGCAGACAGTGTAGAGCTGAGTCATGCATCTGAGGCAGTCTGGAGAGAATGGAGAGCTGTGGTCCAGACGGACAGTACAAAGGGAATGTGAATACTGCTGAAAATACCTGGGACCACATGGGACCAGGGTCTGCCTCCTTAAGGCCACACCCACCTGCCATATCCACCTGTGCTCCTATGCTGGACCCACATGACACATAATGTTCACATAACCAACACATTTCCACCCTAGATCCCAGTTTTAGACTCTCTCCCACTTGTGCGTGTTAGCAAGCAAAGAACTAACAATGACTTGTCCTACTCACACGATCCAAGTCATACTGGTCGCGATGATTTGGCCTTCTGAAAGGTTTGCTGGCTGGGGAAGTGTCACAGCTTCTCCTCCTGTTTGCTCAGCTGGCATCTGAGCAGGGCTGGAGCCTGAAGTGGGAAACACACAGCTACACCTCACCACTGTGCTCCCGTTTGCTTCTGATTGAAAAGTGTGCTTTTTCCTCGAGTTGAAATGTTCAAAGCCAAGAACTGGGTAGATGTGTTGGCACAGAAGTCAGCAAAGCAAGCTTTTCAGCTAGATTTAGCTCTAGGCTATTCCTGACGGAGGCAGAGTTTCCCAAAGGGTCCATCATAGCTCATTGGAACTTTCTCCTGGAGATGGGGTTAAAGGATGGTCTTTGCCCTCTCTTGTTCCCAGTGTTCTGTGTATCTGGAGTCCCTTTCTAGAACGGAAGTCAGGCTGTCTTTTGAGGTCCCTGAACACGGATCATCCAAGCAGCAGGGGCAGCCCCATCTCATCCTCATGGGAATGGAATGTCCACCAAGAATGGAGCCACCCCCTTGCTCACAGTCCTGTTCTGATGTGTTGTTTGCACGCTGAGTGACCTTGAGCAAATACCCAACCTCCCTGCTCGGTGTCTTCATTAATAAAACAATGCAGTAACGAGTTCACAGTCCACAGATTACTGAGAAGATAAATGGGAGGTGACGTGAGAGACTAGTCACAGGTCCTGAGCAAACCACGGTGCTAGTTAAAGGGTGACTCAGTCCTTGTTCTCCTGCATTACAGAATTACTGATGTCCCTGGGCAGGGACAAGATGAGGTGTAGGTATGCACACTGTCATCATGTGCCAGCAACGCCACACCCTTCCCTTCTAGTTCAGAAGGTGCCCTGAAGCCAGTGAGAACACATCACAAGCTGGAGAGGTGACCATGCACACGCACATATTAATGTAAGAAGCAAATGACTGGAAAAAATGGTCACTTCGTTCTTAGGAAAAGTTACTGATAGTGTATGCCACATCTAATCACATCTGAGCTCAGGTACTGGTGGCATCAAGGCTGGGAATTTCTAACCATTCCCCTGAGGGTCTGATTTAGCAGGTCTTAGGAACATTGAACTCCTTGGCATATTTTCTGGAACTTTGAGAAACAGTTCCAGAAAATAGAACTCAGAGTTTTTTGTTTATTTGAGCTCCCCATGAAGAGGTTCAATATAAAACAAGCCTTCTAGAAAGTGGAACTGCCCTACAGTGGGCATGCAGGGGCATTACTCTGTCATTAGAAGGAGTATCCCCAACAAGGATCTGAGATGCCCAGGCAGAGCTGGTCTTGGCGACCCTGAGAATGAGCCCAAGGCTCTCTCCCTTCCTGTCTCCCCCCCCCCCGGCCCCCTGCAGGCATGGAGGTCACTGGCTGGGGTGTCAGCTGAAGTTGATGGAACTGTACCACTACCTGAGGCAGAACTAGGGAGCAAACTCTTTAGGGACAAACCCTCTTTCACTGCCTCCTCTAGGCAGGGTGAGGGGAGGGGCAAACTCTCAAGTTCAAAGCCTTGGTCTCCTAATGCCTTTCCAGAATGGCCCTGGAGAAGGCCAGAAACCTTATTTGCTCAGATCCAGCAGCGATTTTGCCATCACATCAAACACAACCCAGCACTTCAGTCTCCACACATCCTCACTGCTGGCGACCATGTGGCAGGGAGTATAAGACAGGGCTTAGGCCATGCAGTCCAGCGAACACACAAAGTAAGTCCCCCATCACTTAATTCTCTCTCTTTTTAATGCTGAAGATTGAATAGCACCTTGTGCATTCCAGGTGCATGATCTACCACTAAACAAAAGGTTTCTAGTAATCAACTTTGAAAATGGAACCAAGAGGGATGATGGTGTAGTTCAATAAGAGTGTTTGCCTAGCAAGTGTGTAAAGTCCTGGATTTGATCAAAAGCAATACACACACACACACACACACACACACAGTGGATGAGATTAATTTTATAACTTCCACATATACCCAATATATCAAATATGTCTTCAATATGAAGTATTAGGGAGTCCTTTACATAGTCTTTATTGTTGTTACAGTCAGATGTGGGCTTCTCTAACTACCATCAAGGGACATTTTGGTGCCATCAGCTGCATCTGACAGGTAGCTGCATTATTGTATGAGAGTTCTAGTTGCCAAACCATCTTAGAGCTCCCCAGCTCTCTTTACTAGCACGTGACCTCAGGCCAGTTAGTTAACATTTCATTACTTGACGTCTACTTCAGAAGTAATTGTTATAATACTCATTACTAAATGGTCATAATAAATAATAATAATAGGGTCTCTGTTGAAAGTTGTCACAATGATTAAATGAGTTAGTATGTATAATACATGTAAAGCAGTTTCTGACACATAGCAATTGTCTAGATGTTCAGCTTTTCAGCTCTGTCACATAGAAAGGACAGATTTTCTCTTTTTTATGACTAACACTCAAATGTATATTAAATACCTACTATGAGGTAGACAAGATTATAATCTCATTAAATTTCCCAATATCCCAGAGAGGGAAAATTATTGGCATGTTTTAATAATGAGACTCAGAGTGCCTGTTTAATTTATCTGAGTTGACACAGGAAGAACACAGCAAAACAAGAATTCAAACCTAGGTTTTTCAACTCCAAGACCATGTTCTTTCCATCAGATCATGTGATCTTACAGCTGTGGATTTGAGTTGTTCCCTTATTCTTCCACGGTCTTTTTCATCAACAGTGGAGGTCTGATACCATGATTGAATGCAAGGGCATTTTGGTGCCATAATGGATGTAGGGACATATTTTAGGAAAACTCAGGACAGAAAGTACACACACACACACACACACACACACACACACACACACACATACACACACACATACACACACACACACATACACACATGCACACACACATGCACACACACATGCACACGCACATGGGACATTGTGTGTGTGTGTGTGTGTGTGTGTGTGTGAATCCCTAAATATGTCTTAGCATCTGAACTACAAAGAAAGTGGAAGAGATGGGAGTTATTGAGAACATTAGCACCCACTTCCTGCCCAGCTTCCTCCCAGTTTGTGTGTTCTTGGATCCTTGGGGCCTCCCTACTTTGAAAGAAAGAAGCACGTGTTCTGGCAAAAGGCTATTGTACAAATGTCTCTCCCTAGTGCCCAGGCTGTAGTTGAGAGGTAAGCAGAGGAGGAGGCCTAGAAGGAAAGTGGGAAACCCAGGAACCAGGGTCTGGTTACAGAAAGAAAAGGGAAAAGAGAGAGATAGCAAGAACTCTGGAGAACACCGATGCAGCAAAAAGGGCTTTTAGTGATAATTAATAATTAACATTTCTAATGATGCCCCGGCGACAGGAAGAGGCCAGCACAGGGCTCTGGGGCACAGCTCTGGGTGACAGTGACCTCCAGGAAGGCTAGCAACCTGGCCCTCATTAGCTTTCACAAACCCCCATGTTTGTGTAGCGGGTGGGCTTCTTGCTGATGAGATGGACATTGTCAGGGCAAAGCCAGGAAAAGGGAAAGGGAAAGCCAGGAAAAGGGAAAAGGCAAAGCCAGGAAAAGGGGGGCTCTCGGGACCAGAATGTCCTTTTCTGGAGCTGCAGATCTGGCCCTTATAAATGTGCAGCTTTGGGGAAAGGGTGTTCTAGGGCCCAGAACATTCCTCAAGAGCAGCAAAGTTCTAAGAACCTAAGGAAAGGGGATAGGCAACAGCAGGAGGTGATGGCAGGAGACACCTACTGTGTGGGAACAGGGACAGGGACAGCAAAGGCCAAAGCCACAGTTAAGATGATGGTGGGGTGGACGAACGTATTGTACGACTCAATGTTTGTAACCCCTCAAAACTCACGAGTGACCACTTTGGAAAGGGGGCATTTTCAGAAGGAATTACGGTTAAACTGAAATCATAGAGGTGGATCCTCAGGTGGCTTGTAAGAGAAGGAGTCACCAGGAGTCATTTTCCTCGTGTGAACACGGAAGAAAGGCTGTGTGAGGGCATGAGAAGGAAGCGTTATTGCCAAGCCCCAGAAGAGAAGCCCTCATCAGGGATCTAATAGCAAGAACCTCAACCTTTGCAACCAGAGCTATGAGAAATTCAGTATCAGCTGTTTAGATGACCAATCTGTGATATTTATTATGGCAGCCTGTTCTGGCTAATACCAGAATGTGAAGCTAGCCTGGCAACTTAAGGACTAGCCACAGTCCCTAGGCAACTGATTAGCCCTCCCAGTTTGCCCAGAAGGAAAGGGAAAACAGGTCTATTGGGGTATCCCAGGCAAACCACTTGCCTGGCCACCCTAGTCGTAGTAGCAACAGCAGTAGATGCAGCCTGATAACTAGCTGACATTTTATGGTATACTTACTTAATTTGCTTCTGAGCAGTCTTGCTCTCTGAGGACGTGGGATGCCCTAAGTCCTGCAATGCATATGGTGCTTTATAGACACAAGGCATTTTCGCAAACACAGCTGCCATGCTAACCTGAGCCAGCCCTTTGCCCGCCAAATTCAAGCTTAGTCCTTTCTATGCCAAAGGCCAGTGTGGACTCAGCCAGCTGGAGGGGCCCTCTCCTGCCAAGGCCTGGGTCTTGTAGAGCTCTGACTGCCTTTCTGTGTACTGGGTGGACACCCAAGGCCTCACCCACAGAGCTCTGAATCCTTCGATGTGTAGCCGGACCTGGGCTATGGCAGGGTTGAAGATGTTCCAGAAGATTCTGAGACAGACTTGTGTTCAACATGCTCAGTGGTTTCCTCTCTGTCTTTCTGATATTTATGTTTATCTGGTGTAAAGTTTTATTTTGGCATAATGCCAAACTGGTGGAGGGGAAAACCTTCAAGAATTAAACAAATATTTTCATATCCCATCTCCCAATTGTTTGTGACTCATCCTTTTGCTTAATAATTTTCTTGCATTCGTTTTTATCTTTAAAAATTAAGCTTTCCTAGTGTGTCTGGCAGAGTGATGTCAGGACCTATGGGGTACAGTCGTCATATCATATAACAAGCATCTACCTAGACTTTGGCTGCCTGACAGTTGCTCACCCGTAGCAGTGTGTCCTTCCTGTCTTTGGTGACAAAGATCAGGGTTACCTCAGCTGGGGATGGGAATAAAGCAGGGCTGCCTGGGATGGGAGCAGGATTGGGGTAACAGAACCTCCTGCACCCTGATTGAGGCAGTGATTGAGAACACATGTGTCTGTCACAAGTCACCCATCCTAATGTACATGCACACCATGCCTAGAAGTAGCCACTATATGATCATGGCTAAGCATATGCTCACAGCAGGGGGTACATACGACTGTGGCAAGTTTATATATCAATGCAACAAGTTTTTAAAATCTAACGTTTTTTGAAGCAGGATTTAAGTATGTAGCACTGGCTTGT